TCCATGTTTATCACCCTATACCAAGATTAACTCAAAATGGATCAAGGATCTTAATATCAGACCCCAAACTCTAAAGTTGGTACAGGAAAGAGTAGGAAATACTCTGGAATTAATAGGTATAGGCAAGAACTTTCTCAGTGGAACCCCAACAGCTCAGCAACTAAGAGATAGCATAGATAAATGGGACCTCATAAAACTAAAAAGCTTCTGTGCATCAAAAGAAATGGTCTCTAAACTGAAGAGACCACCCACAGAGTGGGAGAAAATATTTGCCAGCTACACATCAGACAAAGGACTGATAACCAGAATATATAGGGAACTCAGAAAACTAAATTCTCCCAAAATTAATGAACCAATAAAGAAATGGGCAAGTGAACTAAACAGAACTCTCTCAAAAGAAGAAATTCAAATGGCCAAAAAAAAACACATGAAAAAATGCTCACCATCTCTAGGAATAAAGGAAATGCAAATTAAAACCACACTAAGATTCCACCTCACCCCTGTTAGAATAGCCATCATTAGCAACACCACTAACAACAGGTGTTGGCGAGGATGCGGAGAAAAAGGAACCCTCTTACACTGCTAGTGGGAATGTAAACTAGTACAACCATTCTGAAAAAAAATTTGGAGGCTACTGAAAAAGCTAGACATCGATCTACCATTTGATCCAGCAATACCACTCTTGGGGATATACCCAAAAGACTGTGACACAGGTTACTCCAGAGGCACCTGCACACCCATGTTTATTGCGGCACTATTCACAATAGCCAAGTTATGGAAACAGCCAAGATGCCCCACCACTGATGAATGGATCAAGAAAATGTGGTATCTATACACAATGGAATTTTATGCAGCCATGAAGAAGAACGAAATGTTATCATTTGCAGGTAAATGGATGGAATTGGAGAACATCATTCTGAGTGAGGTTAGCCTGGCCCAAAAGACCAAAAATCGTATGTTCTCCCTCATATGCGGACATTAGATCAAGGGCAAACACAACAAGGGGATTGGACTATGAGCACATGATAAAAGCGAGAGCACACAAGGAAGGTATGAGGACAGGTAAGATGCCCAAAAAACTAGATAGCATTTGTTGCCCTCAAGGCAGAGAAACTAAAGCAGATACCTTAAAGCAACTGAGGCCAATAGGAGAAGGGGACCAGGAACTAGAGAAAGGTTAGTTCGAGAAGAATTAACCTAGAAGGTAACACCCACGCACAGGAAATCAAGGTGAGTCAATGCCCTGTATAGCTATCCTTATCTCAACCAGCAAAACCCTTGTTCCTTCCTATTATTGCTTATACTCTCTCTACAACAAAATTAGAGATAAGGGCAAAATAGTTTCTGCCGGGTATTGAGGGGAAAGGGGGGAAGGGAGGAGATGGGGGGAAGGGGGGAGAAATGACCCAAACAGTGTATGCACATATGAATAAAATAAAAATTAAAAAAAAATAAGATAAAAATTTTCAGCTTGAGATTCTTAAAAAAAAAAAAAAAAAAAAATTCTTGCTTTTGTCCAGGCTGGCCTCAGACTTTATGATCCTTCTGCCTCCATCTCCTTCATAGCTGGGGTTACAGGTGTACACCATCACTTGTGGCTTGTTTCTGGGATAGGGTCAGGCTAACTTTTGCCGGGGTTGGCCTCAACCCATGATCCTCCCCTCTCTGCCTCCTACTAGCTGGGATTACTGGCGTACATTACCATACCTAGTCCAAAAAATATTAACTTTGTATGAAGAAACGTAGCATCTAGCGTACTTTCCCGACCCTGTGGTAATCAGGTTAATCTCATCAGAAAGGAGACAGTGTCCTAAGTCCCGACGTGGTATGTTGAAAAGAGTACGTTGAAAGAGTACCCCATCTGAAGCAATTTGCCTAGTGAATAACCTCAATCTAATCACAAGAAGACATCAGACAGACCCAAATTAGGAAGATTCTACAAGCCATCTTCAAAAGTGTTGAGGTCATACAGAGGGAGGAAATGGGAGGAACCATGCAGTTTAAGGAAAGCAAAGTGACCTGAGGGCTGGTGGGTATGTGATCTGGAGTAGACAGGACTTGAGGGCCCTTGAGGGCTGGGTGTGCACCATCGTCCTGCATTAGTGTTCGACAATTGTACCATGCATGCATGACGTTGACCTTGGACACCCCTGAACAGGAAGACAGGTCCTGTGTGTGTCCAGGTTATGTGAAAATGGAAAATCAAAAGAAAGGGAACCACAGGCCATAGGGATGGCAGGTGCACTCTGAGGGAGTGTGTGATCAGGACAGACAGCAGTGACCTGGACAGACAGATTGGTAGTTTGACAGAGGGGTCCAGCCAAAGATGGAGGGGACAGAGTCGGCTAAGGCCTGTAGCCCGTTACTGGAGCCAGCAACACCAGTGGAGGATAGCCCAGGAGAGTTGCAGTTTGAGGTAGAAAAAGTGAGTTCATCCTGACTGTTAAAATACCTGGTGGAAAGGGGACTTTGAGCTGTGTCTGTGGGTTGTTAGAAATAGGAGTGTCGAGGTAGGCAAGCTTCTGAGAATTTCAGTCCCTGAGACGAATCAAAAGTGTGAGGAAATGAGAAGATCCAGGAAGAGCATGTTGTAAGAGGAGGAGCAGGGGGCAGGGTTGAAGAGAGTCCTGGCATGGCATTCACCAGGGAGGTGAGAAGGAAGGGCAGCGGAAGGGGAGACAGAAGATGGAAGACCTCCTACTACTCGGGAGCACATTGGGATCTCATGTGACCCGGCCACCCAGACCTGGATGAAATTAATCCCCGAGGAGAGGAAGGAACCACCTATCCTAAATCTTCAGACAATGTGCAGCTACCTGCAACAGTTATATAGGAGAAGACTGAGCAATAAAGTGAGCTGAGAATCCAAAAGACCTAGGATTCCTTGGTCTTTGCAAGCTGTGTTGGCTACTTGACTCTAGACTTTTAGGTGCAATAGGACACACAGTTGGGATTACATTCCATCTCTTCTGAGAGATTAGCCTGCATTATAGAATTCAGTGATGTGCTTTCCAGTATCGGTTATTTCATTTTGGTTGTACTTGACAAAGAAGTACCTATGAATGGCAACCTGTTTGTGAACATTTACTGACACTTTTTACTGACTTTTATTTCCCTCTTAGAATTCTTTATGATGTTGATACATCTATATTACATATTTTCATTTGGAACATTTCATAGCTTTGTTGAAAAATTACCATTAATTAGGCTATAAATATAATTTATTTTGGGCAATAAATTGAGTTCAGTGAAAATGCCCCCTAATCTTTGCGTTTTAGCATATGCTTATCGTGTTGCTTGTATCTCAGCCCAGAAATCTGTATTAGGAAGCTTCAGGAAACAAATAGGCCTACAGGTTGCATGCTTTGCTCTTTACCCTGTTTAGTTTTATGGGTTTGTTGTTTGTGGTGGCAGTGGTTTGGTTTTTTTAGCATCAGCTTTCTTGTTGAAGCAAACTCTGTTGAAATGATTGGCTCAGTATGTCCCAGAGATGGCCTGTTTTTTCCAGAGGGCTTGACCTGTGCTTGTTCTCTTTTGGGATTGTTTTCTGTTTTTGTATCATATCTTTCTGTGGTGGAAGTTATTCAGCCACAGGGGTTTCATAGCATTGCTTGGCCCTGACCATGATCTGCTATTTCTTCATAGTATTTTCAGGCCTATACAGATATAACACACATGCAGGAAGCATAGAGGTGTTTTCTGCTAGATGACTGAATTTACTGCCACCATGTAGCAAGTCCTCCTTTGTAAAACAGGGTGGCTGGTTACAATTTTATCTTAGAATTCCATCTAATTCATGAAAATTATTGCTCATTGATAGTTTGTAGGTAAAGTATATTTTATCTACCTTTGTTTCCACTAGAAATTGTCACTGTAGTCATTTGGAATAGGGCATTTTCTTATTTGCAATTTGATTTTTATATGAAAGTTTGAACCTCCCTTTTGAATATGCCTTTGAGTGCTACAGTACATTTTTAGAAATGTTCACAGCCACCTGTCTCTTCCCATGGCCCAGGGTGTTCTCTCTAGCCTTCTGATACTTGGAGATGCATTCCCTGTGGTCATTCACATGGGCCCTTTCTTCACAGGGCTGTGGGGTCTGCTCAGCGTCAACAGATTGTATGGGAACCACACTTTGGCAGAGTTCTATATAATAATGACAGCTTTACATAACATTTAAAAAATAGTACATGGGAAACCTTGTTGCCAGGACCTCGCTAGTCCTGGGGTCTTATGTGGTGACATCATCGGAATGCACATTTCCACTTAACCACAAGGTTTTTGTTCCTACTGAAAGGAGGCCTGTACTTACCCTGGGCTACAAAGGTTTGTTTCAGCAAGGGCTCCATTTGTAACATTAGTGCTCACCTGTACCTTGCCGAGCACTTTCTGGGTTTTCATAGGTACCTGCAAAGCCACTGGAAGTTCTTTGTAATTGGGGTGCAAAGAGCTTTTTTAAAAACTCACATTGTGGTCTTGGTAGCTGGAAAGCACTTTGAAGTGGTTATTTCTAACACAAATATCTGAGAATATGATGGAATTAGGAAGGATCTATGTTTTTAGGTAAAATGTTTCTGTGTAGGGCCAAGGAAATTCTCCTCTTCTTCCCCTGTGAGCACTCATTGTCTCTATTTAGAGTTCATGTTGGACAAATTGTTATATCTCCAGTTCTGCTGAATTGTCCACTGTCTTCCTGAAGGCACTAAGGCACTCATATTGGGCACCCTGATTTCTGCTGTAGAACTCTGAGGCAGCATTTTATTTGTTTATTTTCTGAATTTAATGAGGTTAAAAAACTCCTTTTATTTACCTTTTCCCCTCATCATTTCCAGCATGCTGTTTCGAGCTCATATCTGTTTATAAGCTGCACTTAAGTCAGGATGGAAATATTTACTCATTAGGGCAGTTCCCAGCCCCCCTCAGTAAAAGGGGAGAGACAGAAGGTGGGAGAGGGCTGTGTCTGTCTGTGTCCTGCTGGTCTCCTCAGACCTGGCTTTAGGAACTGTTTGGCCTGCACATGGACTATCTGGTCTAGCTGGTACCTGGTGCCCAAGACCAGACCCTATTCTGCTGTGGTTCATGGGCTGCACTGGAGGAGAAATCCAATGGCAGGCGAACCCTTGCAGAGAAGAGCACAGTCGGTGCCGTGCAGGTATGCCTGAGTGTCCTCCCCCAGGTCATTCCTGACTACCTCCCTGACCTGTGAGACAGTGCTCTGAGGAAGTCAGTATCCTCCAGTGTGCGGTGTCCACTGAGGGGTGGGGCCTGGAGGTCCTCTGAGAGGCAGGTCTTCTAAGGGGCAGGGCCTGGAAGATCTGCTGGGCAGTATGTGGGTGGTGGCCTGAGATTCTGTATCAGGAGGCTCATTAAGGGCTGGTGATCACTCTGGAGGCCCGTTGCTTGTCTGTCAGGTGGATAAGGATGCCTTTGTTTTAAATGAATGTCATAGGTAATTTAAATAAATATAGTAAGACATTCTTTTCTTTTGTTGATCCTTTGTAGTGTTTGTTGAAAAAGTGTTGAAGAAACTTTTCCCTAATGTTCCAAGAGGCCAAGAAAAGTGGGCACCTCAGACTTCAGCCTTAGAAGTACCACCCAGGAGAGTGACCTCTGAGAGAGTGAAACACAAGCATGATCGTCATCTGACAGGTAATAGCATGTACTCGGTTTTCCCCAGCGACCTGCGTGGCACTGGAGAGTGTCTCCTTTTGGGCTCTCTTTGGAAAAGAAACTTTGCAGAAGTCTCAACAGCAGTGGTTGGTGGTGCAGGCGTCTTTCTACCCACAAGCTCTGGTGCGTCACGTACTCACTTGTGGAAGGAAGCCGATAGTGGTACTTCCCAGGCATACGTGAGGTGGCAGTGTATTTTTTGTTGAGTTTGTTTGCAGGTTGTTTTGGAGGAGGAATTGACTGTGGGTAAAGCTTTGATTCATGCAGAAGGAGAGCCTCTGTCACCTTGTCCCTGATCACAGTTGTGACTCCTAATGGCCTCCATGGTACCATTTGTCTTCTGTCCATTCAGGGACAGCACTTGATGTTCCTGGCACATTGTGAATTGGTCTTTGGCAGACATCTGTTCCTGAGAGAGGCCTACCCAAGTTCACCTGGGTGGCAGGAGTGTCTACAGTGTCCCAGCAGTGCAGCAGCATTAAGCAGTGGGGGCAACTCCATAACAGATGCATTACTGAACCACATGACATACAGGTGGTGGGTGGAGCTGCTTTCTTCCTAATAGATACCTCAGCACACAAAGCTAAAGTTGAGCTCTGAGGTCCCTGTCCCTTTCTTGAGGTCATTTCCCTATCTCTTTTTCTTGTTTTTTTATTTTTTTCTTTTTTATTCATATGTGGAACAAGGCTTGGTCATTTCACCCCCCTGCCCCACCCCCTCCCTTACCACCCACTCCGCCCCCTCCCTCTCCCCCACCCCTCGATACCCAGCAGAACATATTTTGCCCTTATCTCTAATTTTGTTGAGAGAGAGTATAAGCAATAATAGGAAGGAAACAAGGTTTTTGCTGGTTGAGATAAGGATAGCTATACAGGCATTGACTCACATTTATTTCCTGTGCGTGTGTGTTTACCTTCTAGGTTAATTCTTTTTGATCTAACCTTTTCTCTAGTTCCTGTTCCCCTTCCTTTGCCTCAGTTGCTTTTAAGGTATTGCTTTAGTTTCTCTGCATTAAGGGCAACAAATGCTAGCTAATTTTTTAGGTGTCTTACCTATCCTCACCCTCCCTTGTGTGCTCTCGCTTTTATCATGTGCTCATAGTCAATCCCCTTGTTGTGTTTGCCCTTGATCTAATGTCCACATATGAGGGAGAACATACGATTTTTGGTCTTTTGCCAGGCTAACCTCACTCAGAATGATGTTTCTCCAATTCCATCCATTTACCTGCAATGATAACATTTTCGTTCTTCTTCATGCTGCATAAAATTCCATTGTGTATAGATACCACATTTTCTTAATCCATTCGTCAGTGGTGGGCATCTTGGCTGTTTCCATAACTTGGCTATTTGAATAGTGCCGCAATAAACATGGGTGTGCAGGTGCCTCTGGAGTAACCTGTGTCACAGTCTTTTGGGTATATCCCCAAGAGTGGTATTGCTGGATCAAATGGTAGATCAATGTTAGCTTTTTAAGTAGCCTCCAAATTTTTTTCCAGAGTGGTTGTACTAGTTTACATTGCCCACCAACAGTGTAAAGAGGGTTCCTTTTTCCCCGCATCCTCGCCAATACCTGTTTGGTGGTGTTGCTGATGATGGCTATTCTAACAGGGTGAGGTGGAATCTTAGTGTGGTTTTAATTTGCATTTTCCTTTATGGCTAGAGATGGTGAGCATTTATTTCATGTGTTTTTTGGCCATTTGAATTTCTTCTTTTGAGAAAGTTCTGTTTAGTTCACTGCCCATTTCTTTATTGGTTCATTAGTTTTGGGAGAATTTAGTTTTTTAAGTTCCCTATATTTCTGGTTATCAGTCCTTTGTCTGATGTATAGTGGCAAATATTTTCTCCCACTCTGTGGGTGTTCTCTTCAGTTTAGAGACCATTTCTTTTGATGAACAGAAGCTTTTTTAGTTTTATGAGGTCCCATTTATCTATGCTATCTCTTAGTTGCTGTGCTGCTGGGGTTTCATTGAGAAAGTTCTTACCTATACCTACTAACTCCAGAGTATTTCCTACTCTTTCCTGTATCAACTTTAGAGTTTGGGGTCTGATATTAAGATCCTTGATCCATTTTGAGTTAATCTTGGTATAGGGTGATATACATGGATCTAGTTTCAGTTTTTTGCAGACTGCTAACCAGTTTTCCCAGCAGTTTTTGTTGAAGAGGCTGCTATTTCTCCATCGTATATTTTTAGCTCCTTTGTCAAAGACAAGTTGGTTATAGTTTGTGGCTTCATATCTGGGTCCTCTATTCTGTTCCACTGGTCTTCATGTCTGTTTTTGTGCCAGTACCATGCTGTTTTTATTGTTATTGCTTTGTAATATAGTTTGAAGTCAGGTATTGTGATACCTCCTGCATTGTTCTTTTGACTGAGTATTGCCTTGGCTATTCGTGGCCTCTTGTGTTTCCATATAAATTTAACAGTAGATTTTTCAATCTCTTTAATGAATGTCATTGGAATTTTGATGGGAATTGCATTAACCATGTAGATTACTTTTGGGATTATCGAAATTTTTACTATGTTGATTCTACCAATCCATGAGCATGGGAGATCTCTCCACTTTTTATAGTCTTCCTCAATCTCTTTCTTCAGAAGTGTATAGTTTTCCTTGTAGAGGTCTTTCACATCTTTTGTTAGGTTTACACCTAGGTATTTGATTTTGTTTGAGGCTATTGTAAATGGAATTGTTTTCATACATTGCTTTTTCCGTTGTTAGTGTATAGAAATGCTAATGATTTTTCTATGTTGATTTTATATCCTGCTACCTTGCTATAGCTATTGATGATGTCTAGAAGCTTCTGAGTAGAGTTTTTTGGGTCTTTAAGGTATAGGATCATGTTGTCTGCAAATAGGGATATTTTGACAGTTTCTTTACCTATTTGTATTCCTTTTATTCCTTCTTCTTGCCTGATTGCTCTGGCTAGGAATTCCAGTACTATGTTGAATAGGAGTGGAGTCCCTATCTCTTTTTCAAGATGAGTCTCACTATGTTGTCCAGCTGGCTTAACCTCGTTATTCTTCATGGCACTTTAGCCATAGTTTCTCATTGGATATTGAGTCGCCACATAATTCTGTTTTGGGAGTTGTTGGAGCTCCTGCTGGTTCGGCTGAATAACCTCGAAAAAGAGGTCCAGTTCCTGGAATTGGCATCTCTTATAACATCTCCCTCAACAGCATGTCCAACAGTGCTACATATCAGCCTTCTGCCCCACAGGTCAGAGCACAACCTATGTGAAACACATTTTGCCAGGGAAATAACATGAGTCATTGTGATAGGATTTCCAGGTAAGCCTGTCTAACCTATAGTATAATGAGTGACTATTGTACCACTGTGGTTTTCGGCATCCGTGGATATAAGACAAGTAGGAAGGAAAACATTTCCTTTACTTTTTATAGATACTAGGCTATACTGACATTGCTGACATGCTTTTCATGTGGTGTATTCCATGTTCTTTTTCTGTATCTGTCCACCCATCAGTCCTTCCTTCCTTCCTTCCTTCCTTCCTCCCTCCCTCCCTCCCTTCCTCCCTCCCTCCCTTCCTTCCGAGTCAGGGTCTCACTGTGTCTAGATAGTCCAGGGTGACCTTGAACTCATGATTCTCCTGCCTTGGTCTCACAAGTGCTGGGATTACAAGCATGCTCCCCATGCCCTGCTCCTTTCTCATATGACTAAATGTTTTCAAGATGTCATAAACTTCCCAGATTGCTTGAATTAATACTAAGGAGTAAATGACTGCTGTTGAATTTTTTTTCTTTTTTTTTTTACTTTTCAATGAATATACTTGTTACTGGCTAAATTGCTCCCCCAAAAATCTGTATGTTGTATTCCTACCCCCAGACTTCAGAATGTGACTGTATTTGAAAGTAGAATCATTTAAAAAGTGATTAAAGCTAAATGAGGTTGTTAGGATGGACAAATTCAGTGTGACTGGTGTCCTTGTAAGAAGAGATTAGGACACAGACATAGGAAGAAGGCTCTGTGGTAACATAGGAGAAGACTCATCTGTAAACCCACCAGAGAGGCCTAGAGCAGATTTTCCCTCACAGCCCTCAGAATACACCAACACAGCCAGAGCTTGATCTTGGCTGGTGACCTGAGGTGAGAGATAATAAATTTCTGTCATTTAGCTCATCTAGCCTGTGATACTCTGAATTGTCAGCCCTAGAAAACTAATACAATACCTATTCTACTTATTAGAAATTTACTTGTTTTTTTCAATCACCATAAAGTTTTAAAAGCCAGGTATTGTAAACCTGCAAGTATCAAGAAACACCTGGAGCTAGGAGTGGAGTTGTAGGGTACAAAGAGAATACCAGCACTGAACAAGTGGAACTTGAAAACATAATACCATTTAAATTAGCACCCAAAAAGTTTTTAGATGTAAATCTAACAAAATTTGTGCAACTTCTCTATGAGGAAAATTATAGCACTACGTTGAAAGGAATCAAGCACTCCATAAGTGAAGAAATACCCCATGTTGATGCACAGTAAGGCTCAATATTGTTGAAATGTCAGTTCTTCCCAACTCGATCTTCAGATTCAATGCAATCCTAGTCAGAATACTAGCATTTTGTTGATATTGACAACTGTTTGTGAAGTTTATATGAGGAGGCAGAAGACTGAGGATAGTTAAGATGGAGAACAACACAGTAAGAAGTCTGACACAACATATCTTCAAGACACTATTAAGCTACAGTAATGAAGATAGTTTAGAATTGCCCAAAGAATAGGCAACCAGATCAATGGAATGGAATAGAGCCCAGAAACAGATGCACACAGATACAGTAAACTGACCTTGGACAAAGGAGCAGAAGGCTAGTCATTGAGACGAGCACAGTATTTTCATCAAATGGTGCTGGAATAACTGGGTATCCACATGCAAAAAAAACAAATACAGACCCAGCTCTTACACCCTAATATGAACTCAAAGCACATCACATACCCACATGTAAATCACAAAACTATAAAACTCTTAGAAGA